CTCCAAGTCCACAAAACACATGTAGACAGGTTGGGCGAACTCCCATGCACCCTCCAGGACCCTGCTGAGGGTGTACAGCTAGTTGAACCTCGGATTCAGGAAGAGCTTGAGAACTAATGACATATATATCTAATAAATATGTGGCATTAGTTTACACCTAGCACCCACCTCAGTGGGATGTAGCATGCTGCTGCCACAGGGAGGGAATGGGGTGCAGCGTTAGCTTCTGTTGCCACCGATGCTAACAATGGAGGGGACAGGTGGGACTTAGAGCTGTGTAAGTAAGGTTTGTCACCACCTGGCCCTTCTGATTTTAAAAGAACTTGATCAACAATATGAGCGTATATTTATTGCAACATACAGAGGTCCAATTTACACTGCGTCCGCTCTGACCGCCCCCGTTATACATGCAGTATAAATCTGGAGTTAACGTCACAAAATGACTTTGATTTTATTAACTTTGATGTACTTCTGGTGTAATCTGCAGATCTGTGCTGTAAAAAAAAAAAAGCTAATGTAAGGAGGCGTAATAAATATCAGCTTATAATCTGAAATTATTCTGGGAACAAAAAGCTGCACATTTGTTAAATATTATAAATTTGCCACTGAATGTCTTCACCAAACTGTTCAGCTGACTCTGATGGGTTTACTACGAAATAATATGTAAATGTTTATAATGTTCATCAAAGACGGGCGTTGGAGCTGCAGGGAGTGAGCTAACTGTGAGTCCGACTGAATCTGAACAGGTGTAGTGGAGGCCAGTCCAGCATCAGACACAACCAGCAGGAGGAGGAGGAGGAGGAGGTGGAGGTGGAGGAGGAGGATGGAGGGGAGAAGGAGATGGAGGAGGCAGTAGAAACTAAAAGACGTAAGTTTCAACTTTTTTTTCTTTGTCCTTCTTTAATTAAGGCCTCCAGCTAACGAGCTCCTGTTTGCTGTGCTTTAGGTGTGAACCCTTTCGCTAAAGAAGCCGACGCCCCTGTAATGCCGTCGCTGACGCCACGTGAGTCAAAACTCTTTTTTACGGATGCACAAATCCTTTATCGGCAAAAAAAGGRAAARTCTTAATGTTAAAATAAAATCCAGCTGATTCGATCTGTTGGTGGATTTCTGAACTGTAACTGGAAGATCAGCTAAGCTTATTAAAGATGTGATGTTTATGATAATGTAATGGTTTACTTTATTATAGACTTTATAAGTGACTTCAAGTTTTGACCAAAATCACAGTAACTATCTCAGCTACTAAACAAACCGAGTCATCTAAGATCAGCTGTCTGTTGATATTAGTGCAAGAATATCAGGATGATTTTATTTTAATGTTGATGAACTGAGACCTGCTTCATTTCGGCAGCTGGAACAGATCTAAACCTCTTTGGTCCTCGTGTTTGTTTTTATGAGTTCTTACTGAATTTATTGGATGTGTTCTATTTGCCTGTTTAGTTGGGTTTTGATGATTTTTATCCCAGACCATGCTGTTCTCTGTAGTGCTCAGTGGGGAGTGTTATTTTCAGCACGTGTGTTTTGTATCTGACATGTTTTACTTCCATTTTTCAGTTGGTAAAGCTGGACGAGCAAATCCCTTCAAGGTAAGAGCYTTCTAATGACAAATTAGATTTAGATTGCAGCAATCTGGGCCTCTTTATTAGAGGAGTATTCAGTACTTTTTACATTTTAACCCATCAGTTTGACGATTGCTAAAAAAGTTAGTTTGACATCAGTGCTGAAGTTACAGCCCATCATTGATTCCTGTCATTATTACCTGTAGGTGGTTTGAATAGTTCCTGTTGATCAATAATTCTGTATTTTATATTTTACAGTTTCTCTTGGTTGCTTTGACCCAATTTAAAGAAACTGGGATCCATCAGTTTTCATCCTCACTAACTCACAGAGCAGAATATTATGTTATGTTATAACCTAAATGTTATGTTATTACAGGGCTCGACAAGATTTTATTTTTTTTACTTGCCGACATAAAACGTTACCTGACCGAAACAAAATTATTTAAAATTTGATCAAATATAAGAAAAACGTGTACTGTATTTGTACTACAAAAATATTAACATGGTTATACAGAGGTACATAGGATGACATCTGATTTAGCAGATGCAAACTGAGTCACTCACAGTCAGTCAATAGTTTTATCAAAAACATCTTCTAAAACCATTTTTAGACCTTTCCAGTGTTTCCCGTATTTGTCTTGGGAGGGCTGCTTATAAAAACAGAATGATCAACAGCAGCAGCTTTGTTTTAAGTACAATTTACAGAAAATGAAAAGGTCTGAAATTTGCAGTAATTGAATCTTATATCGTCTATCTCATTTCTAAAGATGCATTTAAGATATCTTGAACTGGAGTCTCCCTACAACTTAATGTCTCCCTACAACTTTATAATAAATCTGATGTTATTTATACTAGTCAGAATATAATTAGAGATATGATATCTCTTAATTATATTCTGATTAGTATAATTAAGATATCTCAGATATCTTAAATAGGTATTTTGAATTGTCAAAATATATTAAAAGATATTTAGTTAGTTTCTTTCATTTATAAAAACAAAACAATCTATGTACAGCATTAAAAAAGTACATCCTACCCTGAATTAAAAGGGTGCAGAGTGAAGGAAAAACTCTTTTCATATGTGCCCCTTATTCTCAAAAATCAACTTCAACAAACAAACAAGCTCAAGCTCGAAATATCTCCAAGTTAAAAAAACATTTTATTATTTTATCCTAAATAACTAATATGTCTAATCAAGTCATAAAACTGTTTCAGATAACTGGAATGTGAGAGAGGTGAAGCYAAATTAATGCAATATYAGCCTGCCATACAGTGAGCCYGTTGAACTGACCCTCTGCTGTTCTGCGCTCAGAACACAAGCTGACATTAGCAAGATGGATTTATGACTGATCAAACATCCACATCTTTTTTTATCCCCTCTGTGGGTAACAATACATAAACAAGGTTTTTTTATCTGACAACTTGAGTATGAAAAAACTACGGTTGTTAAAGCTTCGCTCTGCTCGACGTGCAGCGGGAGGGAGGGAGGGAAAGATCCCGCGCATCCCGTGACACGGCGTAACTTCTACAGCAGGAGGGGGGATTTTGAGGATTTATTCTTTATTCTTTTGTGTTTTAAAACGTWACATTTCTTCATTTATTTTCATAATATTTAGAATAAATGGCCCTATAAAACAATAAAACAAATAGTTTCCCTGTCCGGTCGGGCAGGCATCAGGACACACCCACCTGCCCGAAAATGAGCTTTACCTGCTCCGGGCAGTCGGGCAATAGGATTTGTCGAACCCTGTGTTATTATGTAATGATTGATTGGAGGTTACCAGTTGTGTTGTTTGAAGACAATATTTTTATTATTTTGGTTCGATTCCCAACTCAAACTGTGCAGTTTGATTTGACTGCTGCATCAAAGCAACCAAGTAAAACTGTAACAAAGAAACACGTGTTGTTTTCTGTCAGCAGGGGGCAGTGTTGAACCATTKAACACAGGGAAACATAATTTTGATTGATGACTTGATTACAGCTCATTATTCAAATTTGTATTTACTGATCATCACTTTTAACACAATACAACATTCAAGCTGCTTTACCAGCTGAACCGTTCGACACAAGGAGCTGTTTTTATATAACTTATCTGTTCCTGTTTGTAATGAAGTTGGTTTGTCTGACGCTCTTTGAATTTAATCTGTTCAGGTTTCTGGTTCTGGTAAACCCACGTCCTCATCGGGTCAGCCTCGAGTGACCAACATCCTGGACAGCATGACGTCCAGCAGGAAGTCGGCTCCACTCAGTGGATCTGCAGGGAGATCCAATAAAAACCCAGTCCTCAAACCACTGGTCCCCAGGTCCAAAACCAAGGTAACATTGTGGCTCTGCAATGGTTTCCTTTAGTTCTTCATGTTTAAAATCCTTGTTTTTTTATCATTTCATGTGCTGCTCTAAGCTGCTGCCTGCCTTCATTTAAACTCTATTAGGAAACAAATAGATTTTTAACATTAACTCTGATCTCCTGGTTAAATAAACAAACATAAAAAGACAAAGATGGTAAAGTTTGTTAACAAAGTGCTGCTCTGAAGTCACGCATCCTCATAAGAAATAACTGTAATCACAAAATCTTTAAAACTATAAATATTGTGATCATAACATTGTTTTTACGTTTCTGAAAACAGCTGATAAAGGATTTTAAAAATGTTTAATTTTTCACATGGCTAAAGGGTGAAAACACCTAATTTTTCACTACCTTCAGCATCTTTGATCTACTCTAGTTTAAAACCTAAAATACATAAACATGTCAAACCTGGACTACATTATTCTGCACTGATTGCACAATATTTCACAAAAATGGTGTGATTTGTGAAAACTTTATCTGATTTGTGAAACTTTTTATACATCTGGACCGCACCAGATCTGGTCCAGCTCCAAAACTGCATCACCCAGACTCTTCATATCTGGACAATGTTATTCTACACTGATAGCAGAATAATTTAAACCAAGTTTGGGATTTGTCAAACCTTTATTTGTTTTGTGAAACTTGAAAGAATTGCCATACTAGTGCTTTTTGGCCTGTCTTTATTTCCTTAGTTTGTCTTTATTTCCTTGGTTTGTCTTTATTTCATTAGTTTGTCTTTATTTCTTTAGTTTGTCTTTATTTCTTTATTTCATTAGTTTGTCTTTATTTCTTTAGTTTGTATTTATTTCCTTAGTTTGTCTTTATTTCCTTAGTTTGTCTTTATTTCTTTAATTTGTCTTTATTTCCTTAGTTTGTCTTTATTTC